CTTTTACTTCTGGAAGAGTAAGTAAAAAATAATTATAAAGAAATCGAGGTAATAATAATAAAAATTCTTAAATATATTAGTTGAGTAATTAAACATCTATCATTTTAATTTATATAATTTTAATCCAGATGAAAGCAATGTATCCATTGATGTTAGAAGTCGGAAAGAAGATGAATAAATATTTGGAAAAAAATGAAAAACTTCCAGGAGGAATTGATGTGAAAGAAGTGAGTTTGTTTTTAAACTTTGTTGTGTAATTGAATAATGACTTTATTAAAACACATTTTAGCTTAATGAAAAGTTTGCTATGGACAATGTGGCAAGTTGTGCTTTTGGAATTGACGTAGAATAGCTTCAAGACCAAGATTCTGATTTTATTCGAGCAGCAAAAAAGATTTTCGAGCCTTCATTCTCAAACATGATTAAATTTCTATTAACATTCATGGCGCCTACAATAACTAAAATTCTTAAATTTCGGTAAGAAAATATAATTGACTTATTTTTTGTAATAAAGTAGTAATATTTTATTACAAAACTCGTATTGGTATTTTGCCTTGAGGCAAGTTACATGAACTTCCTTATATGTGTAAATAATCGACATAATCAATAAAAAAATAAATTAATTTATGAGTGATTAAAAGTATTCCGAGTGGATTTATTACACATAATTGAAAACGAACGAATACGTCAACTCGGAGTATTTTCTAAAAGCAAATTTTCAAAAATCAATAATTTTTATAATTGAACCAGTTTCCATAGGACTTTAGTAGTTTAGTATGTTCATTAAGACCATGTACTCTATCGTTATACGAGTAAATCGTCTAATTTCAATTTTAACAAACGTCAAAAAATCTACTCATTTTCCCAAACTTTAATGAATTTTTAAATTAAACTACTTGTCGTAAGGCCGTTATATTTTAGTGGGTTCTATAAGACCATGATATGATATATATTGCCAAAAAGTTCCATAAAAATTGGTTTAATGTTTTTTCAACAGTTATTTACAAGAAAACGGCTAGGTAGATTTTTACCTAAAACTAATCAATATCATCTCAACTAATATCTTTCAAACAGTTTTTGATTTTTAAAAATCGATTCGGTAGTATGAGCTTAAATGTGGACGAAAAGTTTAACACTTTTTTTAAAATTACAAAGAAACGGTTCGGCAGATCGTCTCACAAAACTGACAACAGTCACGACAAAACTGACGACAGTCCTCATTGAGATACATCAAATGACTTTTAAATTTCTGAAATCGGTTCAGGCGTTTTTGAGAAAACATCAATCAAAAATCTAATTTTGACAAATGCCAAAAAAAAACGATACTTATTTTTTAACTTTGAAGAATTTTAAAATTAAACGATTTGTCGTAGGGCCGTAATATTTTAGCATGATCTACAAGACTATGGTATCTACGTCAAAAAAAAAACATAAAAATCGTCGCATTTTTTTTTTAAACTTTATTACAAGAAAACGACCCGGCCGATCTTTACCAAAACTAATCAGCACGATCCCAACCAACATCTTTCGAACGGTTTTTGAATTTTCAAAATCGATTCAGAATTGCGGGCTAAAACGTAGACGAAAAATTTTTTACTTTTCTGCGATTTACAAAGAAACTGCTCGGACGATCGTCGCACAGAGCATCAAGATACATCGAATGGATTTTAAGTTTTTGATATCGGTCCAGTCGTTTGGGAGAAAACGTCGTCTTACGGCAAAAAATCTGTTCACACACACACACACACATACTTTTTCCAAATTTGTACTCATTCGATTCAGAATGGCTTGAAACGTCGAGAAAACATAAAATTAGCGAGTCGGATTTTTTTATGAAAACATAAACTTCTCCTTCGGGAAGTTAAATATAGCTGTAAATATATAACACAAGGCAGTGCACTTAACCGTTACGCCATGAAAAATCCTGTATACTATCCTATTACTATACTTTATTTATTTTTAGTATAATGCCTCCAGAAACTGCAAATTTCATGAGTCAAATAGTAAATCAAAACATCAAATACCGAGAAGAGCACAACATCACTAGAGATGATTTCTTACAAGGCATGTTGAACTCAAGAAGCAAAACCCAAGGCGAATTTCCACGTATGTAATGTTATCAACGCAAAAATTAATCCAATTATTATATTAATTATTAATCCAAAATATATTTCAGCTTTGACCAATATGGAAATGACTGGACATGCCGTATCTTTTCTCACAGATGGTTATGAAACATCCAGTGGTGTTATGGCATTCACATTTTACGTGGTAAGAAAATGTAAAAACTCTTATCAATTAATAATTTTAAAAATTCTCACTAAACCAAAATCCGTAATATTTACGTAAATTTCCCGTAAAAAAGTAACATCATTATAAAACTTCTACGTAGTTAGTATTATTGCAAGAAATATGTAACAATTTCGTAACATGGATTACGTAACATAATGACGGTGAAGTTTCGTAAATGTTTTGTAATTTTAACTACATAATAATAATTATTATTATTTTATAATTGTTTTTATAAATTGTACAGGTAGCCAAGTATAAGGATATCCAAAACAAATTGCGTAAAGAAATTGAAGAAGTTTTGAACAAACATGATGGACAAATGACTTATGAAGCTATTATGGAAATGTCGTATCTTGAGAAAGTTATTTATGGTAATAATAATTAAAGGTCAATTAAAGGATCATTTTACTGTTAAGACTAGAGTGTGCTAGCGCAAATTAGTCACGGTTAGCTCGATATCAGGCAGCATGATATGAAAATTGCGCTTGAGATTACAGATTACAAATATAATCCCACGTGAAAACGCCTTTCGTGGGCATAGCTGAATATAAAATATGAAGTCAAAATATATTATTAAGTATAGTAATAATATGTCACAATAGGATATAATACTGCTGTGTTTGCCAAAAACAAGCCATACAAAGATTACTGAATGTCCTCATAATATCAGACTGTAATATATGATGTAAAATACTAGAATTACTTATCTATAAAAATGTTATATTTAAACACTGTTACAACTATTACAGTCTACTACTTTGACAAAGTCAAAATCTTTTTAATTAAATAGTTTACAATCCAGAATGCTATTCGTGTAATATTTTCAATGAAAGTGAAATGAATGAATTTCCTCTAACAATGTTATTCTTGTTGTGAACAGAGGATATATAATTATATCAAAAAAGCCTCACATCTAATTTTATTAACTAGAGACCATGAGAATGTACCCTCCAGCTTTGATGCTACAGAAAAGATGCACTCAAGAATGCACTTTGCCTGGTAAATCATCCGAAGACATTACCCTGCATCCAGGAGATGCTGTTGTAATTCCTGTCTATTCTATTCATCAGTTAGTAATTTCATATCATATTTATGTATAAATCATTCATTAATGATCATTCATTAATCATTCATTAATGATTATTATGAAGTCCATAATATAAAATTACTTATAGACACCCTAAAAATATTCATATAATGTTATCTTATTAAGTAGTATTTTTACATTCACAGTGATCCAGAATTTTATTCAGATCCAGAAAAATTTGACCCTGAAAGATTCACTGAAGAAGAGAAAACATCGAGACATTCATATGCATTTTTAGGATTTGGTGCAGGTCCAAGGACCTGTTTAGGTAATATATAACATTTTATTATTTCTATTGAAGAATTTTTGCTATTATTGCATTATCAATATAAACTCAATTATGAATTACTTCTTTCCCATTCAGGAATGCGTTTCGCTCTTTTGCAAATGAAAGTTGCATTGATGTCTGCTGTTAAAAACTTTGAATTATCTGTAAATTCGAAAACAAAGGAGCCACTAGTATTCGACAGCAAGTCGTTTACTTTGAGAGCCAAGGATGGTTTATGGATAGATTTCAAAAAGCTGTGATATGATATAAATACTCATAATATTAATGTGAATGTATCTCTGCACTTTTATTTTTATAGTTTTTTCTTTAAATTTAATTGTAAAAAAATTTTGCTCTATGATTATGATATTTCTAACTATAATAATATTTGTTTTATTATAACAATATTATAATTATTGTACATCTTGACTGTAAGTGTATATTGTCATTTAATACTGAATATAATATATTCGTTATAAATCAGAATTCATAATTATTTAAACAATGTTTCAATAAGTAATGAGTACACTCAATAATATAGTTCGAATGTAATGAAAAAACAGTAGTATGTCTGAACAAATTGCACATGAACTAAATCTTAGTTCTTTAAAACATTATCCATCTATTATTCATTGACTATAATAGCTTCTTTAATATGATTTCAGTATTTTTCAACTCTCTTTGTAAAAAAAAATGCTTTCAACTCACATTGATCAATCCAGCTCGAGGTGGGAAACGTTTTGAAATAATTTCTAACCATTTCTCACTTTTGCTTTTATGTGTTTATTTGATATTTTGCAATAGTCCAAGTAAATCCTTTACACACTTTTTATATTAAATATTTTCATTGATTGCTTAATTTGATAAAAGATAGATATTCTGTAGAAATATTAAAGCCATTCGAAGAATATGTAGGACATATTTCACAATTGTATATATGAATATATTTCAAAGGATACATTAGTATGTCTGTGAAAATAGTACATAAATAAAAGATTGAATATTTATTTTATTTAAAAAAGGCCTGTAATTGATAATTATGATTAATTGTCATGAAAAGCTAGATTGTAATAATTATAGGCTAAAGACTTCTTCAATACTTTAACAGATATTTATTCTCACTTGATTTTAGTACATATTTTTTATACGTATAAATTAATTAATTATTGGAGAGATGAGATGAATCAATTAATTAAAATCTTACCAAATAAATATTTATAAAGCACTTCTAATTCTAAAACACGTTTTTATACATAACCTAAAAAAACGAGACAAAATCTAAAAGCACGAATTTTAAACTTTATGATTACATCAAGGTTTGCAACATTTCGTTCAAAAAAATTAATCAGAATTAAATTATATAGTTTATATATTTTATTAACACGAAACTATTAGTACTAAATACATTTTAAAAGAATTTTATCATACCATCAATAAAACATACTACACAACTGTCATGTTTTGTCAGCGCCATGTTTTTTAGAGCTGTCAAACGAATAAACCAGGGCCGCATTTTGACAACTTTTAGTATATTTTAAAATAGACCGACGGATGACACATAGATAAAAGAAGAGTAAGAAAACATGAGATGACATCAGTATTCACCATATATTATAGAACAAATATTATAATATCATTCTCTCAACAATTTATAAAAACTGCAACAAAAATACATTTACATGTAATCAGCAGTTTATAGCTCATTATATAATGAAATATATATACATAAACTCACCAGCTCACCACCTACGCATTTTCAAATAGGCATATTCTTCATATATGAAAACTTCAATAAGAGTCATGGTACTTCAATTAAAATAACTAATTTAACTATTAATTATTGTCTTGTATTTCAAAAAGATCAAAAGAAATTAAGATACACCCTTTCTACTACTACTATTAAAATCGCTAACTACTAGCAAAATAAATGAAATTTATTCTGTGCTTTACTCAATCTATTTTTTCCCCATATTGTTTACAAATAACTAAATTTTGCAATTATCGTATATATTGTGTATATGTAGATATATATTGTGATTATGTAGTTTTTTCTATGTTTAATAGCTCAGTTACAATAATATTAATATTAAAACATTCCAATCACCAAAACGTATTAAAATAACCCAAAACAATAACATGCATTTTTATTTCAAATAAATATTCAAAATATATACCTCTGACCATTCAGCAAGCGGCCCTGCAGAATACTAGTAAAATTTCAATTAAAATGCGTCTGTTCTCCTAATACATTCGGAGCACAATTCGTATGGAAATGCCCAATTTATATGAATGTTATAGGAATTGTCCGCCATGTTGCTATTGGAGCTGTCAAAACGAGAAACCAGGGCCACATTTTATGCAACTTGAAATATGTAAATTATTTTCATAATTATAAAACACATTATTATAGTAAATTTACTTGCTCACTACACTTACTACTAACAGATTGTGTTTCTTATTGTTCAATTAATTACAAAGAAACAGCCCGATAGCCAATCCAAATACCAAAAACCAATCAGCACAATTCAGATTTTTTGGCTAAAACGTGAACAAAACATTTTACACGTTTCTGTACAACTAATCAGTACGAGTTCTTTATGAAAGGTTTTTATGAAATCAGTACAGCTGTTTTTATCCCAAAACAACAGAATGCATTTTATCTCATAAATATATTCATATAATTACCCCTAACAATTCAGCAGACGGCCCTGAGCAGTATGAGCGGGTTTGCGTCTGTTCTCCTAATACATCGATTGGTTTTGCGACGAGATTTTGTATGGCAATGAAGAATTTTATACTGAAATTGATTCATTCTACCAGGAGAACAGTCACAAATCCGAAAATGAAATAAAGTCGGTATTGCGCAGGGCCGTCTGCTAAAACGCCAGGGGTAATAATTTTGAATATAAAGTTAAATGAAAAATTTAACTTATTGTTATGTAAATGATAAATGTAACTTATTGTTACTTATTAATATTATTGTAATTGAGCTACTAAATATGCAAAATATAATCGTATATATGTGTTAAATCAATAAAAGGGATAAATTGAATAAAAATTGATATTTGAACATGATTATTAATTATTGTTTGCTAAAAGCAACCTGAAATATTCAATAAAATGCACATAAATTGTATAATAAAATAATCAAACTAAATTAATTATACTTTTATTTATATAATTAAAAAAACATTACAAAAATACATCATCTAAGCAACTAATATATGTTATCACATAAAATACATTTGAAAGATATAATTTTGATCTCATTATCACACATCACAATAGATTGAACTAACACAATTTCAAGATTAAATACATATTACTATTATAATAAACAATATAGTCTTCAAAGATGCACTTAACTTGTAAATTAGCAATTATAATATATTTTTTATTGCTTTGATAATCATTTAATAAATAATTTGTCAGTATGTAATATAAAATAAATATGGATCTCAAATAAAAAAAACAGTATATAAGTCTAACAAGAATAAGTAAAAACTTGTAATTAAAATTATTATACAAAAATCAAGCACTCTTTTAATCACACACATTCTGAGTTTAAATTTTAGAAACAATTAAATTGTGATTAGAACTGTATATACAACTTGTCAGAACATATTGGTACTTTTGGTCTTAACAATATTAAGTAATAAATTAATTTAATTACTATCAGATACCATTTAAATCTCAATAATGCACATCTATTGAATATCATCTGTGTGAAACCGTAAAAAGTCCAGTCTGCGTTCGAGGTGGTTTACTTGTAAGAATCTAAACTCAGAAGATTCTCACAAAAACCTAGATAGGCATGTTGCTCTGGATTCTTGGTATCTCCTTATAATGGAAA